GGGAAGACAGGGCTGAGGTCCTCGGTGGGGTGACCTTGGAGCGGCCCCTCCCGGGGCTGGACTCCGGCCCCGCCCAGGACCCCGCGAGCAGCTCCGCGCCTCCGGCCGTGTCCCCGCCGCGCCCTCTGCCGGGAACGCGCAGCACTGCGCCCGCGGGAAGGCGCCTGCGGGGGGCGGGCTCCGATGCGGCTCCACACCCCGCAAGGCACCGGCCCCGCCGCGGCGACGCACCTGCTCCAAATGCCGGCAGTGCCGGGGGAGAAACCGTCACCCTCTCCTGAAGGAAGCCCTTCGGGTACACACAGCCCCCCCACCCCGGGTCTGCCCCACGCCGTAAGCCGTCCTGCTCCCTGGGCCCCCAGGGCCTTTCTCGGGCCGCGCGGACCCCTCTGCTCCTGCCCCACCCCTCCCGCCCTCAGGCCCCACAGCCAGCCTCCCTTTCCGGGCCCTAGGCAGACCTCGCTCTCTCCGACCAAGCTGCCAGGTCTGTGACCTGTCGCCCACCAGGGTGCAGCGCCCAGTCGGCCCGCAGTCGACCTCCCTTGAATAAATGAAGGAGCAGGTGAAACGAATGTTGACATCGAACCCGTGTCTCCAAATCCCGAGATCCGAGACGAAGAAAGGAAACATCTGCGGCCCATCCCCCCCACAGCTGCGCGTGCCAAGCGCCTGTCCGCGGGCGTCGCGGGCTCTCCCGTGACCTGCGTGCTCCTCGCCAGGCCCCGCCCGGGTCAGTGTCACGCCTGGCGGGATGACCAAACACCCAGGCGCACCCCACGGGCCCAAGCTGATGCTGGCTCCGGCAGCCCCAAGCGCTGAGTCGGCACAGCCGCCGCCTGTGAGCTTTGATGAGGAAGGCCCCCGGGCGCGGTTCTGAGAAGGACCCCTCAGGAGGGACCGCCGACCCCCACGGGAGACTCTGCTTCTGTCTGATGAGGCTCACCGAGCGTAAACTCCACCTGCCTTTCACCTTTCACCTAGGGGAGCTCAAAGTTGTTGAAAGTACTCATAAAGAACATTTAACAAAGAAAATCAGGGGGCGAGCCACACGCTGGGGGCCCGCTCTGCCCTCTGCCGGCCCCGCCCACCTCCTCCCCGCGGTCCCACAGCGGGTGGGATGCACAGGCTGCAGCCCCGCCCTGGGTCCCAGGTGACAGGTGACAGGAGGGGCAGAAGGCCCAGCTGTGTTGGGGGGTGGGGGGGCGGGCAGGGGGAAGTTCTCTCCCTGCACCTGCCGTGCTGTCGGACCTCTACAGTGAGCCATTGTCACTTTTATAATCAGCTAATAACAACACACATTTGTACTTTTCACTTTGGAAATAATAGGTGTTTGTGATCATGAAAGTATATGAGAGCTTTGTGGAAAATTGGGAAATACAGAAAGTGCCCAGAGTGAAAAGGACCAGCCCTCAGCTGCCAGGCCCCTTGCGGGTCTGTCCCCGCCTGTGCCTCCGTCCGAGGGTCACTGCCGCTCCGCCCCAGGTGACATCGTTATGCTGCAGCCTGCCGACCGGCGGGCCCCAGAACAGGCCCGGGCTCCTAAGAGGACGACTGGTCCCAGCATTTCTGAGGGGTCTTCACCCATTTGTTCATTCATTCATTCATTCCAGGTGTGCCAGATGCCTGATGCAGTGGGGATACAGCGGTGACCCAGGCTGACGGGATCCCAACCCCACCAACTACCCAAACACCCCATGCCCGTGGCCAGGATGCAGGGCGAGAAGTGGATGCCAGGCAGGCTCAGCTGCCTGTCGCTCAGTCGGGACCAAGCCCTCTGTCCTCGAGGCCCTGAGAGGGATGGCTCAGTGGCCCTGCCCTCTGGAGGGGGTCTGCTGGCCTGGGCAGCAGGTCGTTGTTTTGCAGAACTTGTTGGTGGGGGGAGGGTCCTTCACCCTCCCCTCTCCGGCGGCCTCAGGGAAGTGTTCTGGGCACCGCAGGCAACCCATGTGCCCTCACCCGGGCCTGGGGCTAGACGAGGTGGGGGACCCCTCCCCTCCCGGAATACGCCTTTCTCCTCCCCAACCCCCATGGGGAACAGAGGCCCCACTCTCCAAACCCACCTGACCCTGAGCAGGCAGCTACCGGCCCCCCCTCGGACTTCCTCACCAGTACTGGGTGACCCAGCTTCCAGACTCCAGGACAGAGGGTCCCATGTGGCATTCAGGTCTGCAGGCGGCGGCCAGCACCCATGGGGCCACCTGGGATGCTCGGAGCTCCTACCCTGACCAGGGCTTCCCTGGTTAGAAAGGGCTCTTGTGTCCGGTGGGGCCTTGGATGGGGCATGTCCAGGAGATGGTGCCCAGAGAAGGGACCCTCGCTAGCCCGTGCTGCCAGCAGGGGGAAGAGGGCGTCAAGGACTGGACCCCCTGGCCCCTCCTCCTCTGCCCTCACCACGCTCTGAGGCAGGAAGTCAGAATGTAGGTGGGGGGGGGGGGACGGGGGGGGGGGGGGTGGTGCTGTGGGACGTCTTGCTCTTCTCGGCCCGTCAGGACATGCCCAAGGCCGTGTGCCAGGCTGGGCTCCCGGTGGCCCAGGGGACACAGCCACAGTGCTGGCCGTGGGGCCAGGTGAGGGGCTGGCACAGGGCGCTGCATCCCACACACTCACCTCTGGGCCACAGGTTCCTGCTCCCTCCTGTGAGCGCCATGCTGCTCCCCTCACATGACAAACCCTCGGACCCCTCCCCTTCCACATGCACCTGACAGCCAGGGAACTCGGTGCCCACGCCAGGGCATGGAGGAGTGCCCACGGGGTGGGGTCGGGAGCAGACTAACACGGACGTCAGGGATGTTGAGTAGAGACTCAAGGGAAGTGTGGGTCTGGGCAAAGGTGCCACAGCGCATGCGAAGGCCCTGAGCCAGGAGGGAGCCAGGGGGCCGGTGTGGAAAGAGCCACATGAGGCTGGCGTGAGACTGGGCAGAAAGGCCTGGGGTCCCTGAGGACGATGCAGACCACTGCAGGTCTTGAACACCAGAGAGATGGACACAGATGGACTTAGGTTGGACCAGGTGGCAGCAGTGGAGGTGGTCGACACGGCAGGAATCTGGAGCTGCCAGGACCTGCATAAGAGGGAGAGAAAGCAAAGGAAACCCCAGGAGTTTTGAGGTGAGAATGAGGAAGGAAGGGGTGGGCGCCCTGAGGTGGAGGATGGCATGTCGGGGAGCTCTGGCGGAATGAGAGGTGTGATGGTGGGGGAATCAGCCCAGCGGGGCCATCTGAGCTTGGGATGGTACTTCGAGCCCTAAGTGGACACGAGCAGCTCAAGGGCTTGAGAAGCACCCATGACTGAGGCGGGGGCGGTGGGGACGCATTTAGAGGCTGACGAGGAAGCGGCAGAGGCACAGGGGAGAGACAGCAGCGTCCTAGGGTGAGGACACTGCCAAGGGTCAATGCAGAAAAAGCTGACAGTTGGCACTGTGCTTAAACACAGGAGGTGGTAGTGACAGTGGCCTCAGAGAAAGTGGCAGGAAAGAGAAAGTGGAGATAAGGGCTGCAGAAAGCTCTGGGCAGGAGTTTGTTGTAGAGAAGAGCAGAGAAATGGGCAGGTGGGTGGACGGCTATGGGGCGCAGAGGGCTCTGTTTTTTAGGACGGAGAGTTCACAGCACCCTAAGTAGGTGAGAGGTGGGCTGTCAACAGGTTTCTCTGTGTCCATCTCTAGGGAGAATATGGGTCCTATGACCATAGGGACTATGTCCATGTGGTTCTCCAGGGACACCAGCACCCTGTACTAGGAGGCGCCAGGAAGCTCTGTGGAATGAAAGAGTGAATGAGAAATCCTTACAATTGTCCAGGTGAAGAGTGGTGAAGGCTTAGCCGGGACTGGAGTCGGGGGTGGGGTGGGGTGGTCAGAGGTTGCCGACAGGGTGGGGGGGGGAAGGGGAGGGAGGCAACAGGGGTGTGGCCCAGAGTAGGACAGGCCTTGGCAGGGGCAGCAGGGATGAGGGGTCTGTAGATCTCTGAGCCCGGGGTGCGCACCTGGTGCCCAGCTGAGATCCCACAGACTGCAGATTTGGGCCCCTGTGGATGCAACCAGTAAGGGATGGGCCCAGGATGCAGGCACCTGGTGGGTGCGGGCCTGGATAGTATTCTAAGGCGACAGTCCGGAACAAACGCACCGTGTTAAAAAGACCCAGAGAGGATGTGGATTCAGAAGTGAAGGTCACGGGCGAGCTGGACAAACGCAGCCTCCTTGTCCCGAACCGAGGAGTGAACTGGAGCAGAGGAGCAGGCTAGCGAGTGTAGACAAACCTTCCGCAGAAGGAGGAGGGCGGCTGCGGCCGGGAGAACCCACTGAGCCCCGACCTGCCGGCCGTGACCTTCGCTGGATTCTCTGCTCCTCGCAGTCTGTCTCCGCAGTTGTAAGCTGGCCGGACGCGGGTCACGCGGTCCGATCGCCGTTCGGAATCCAGGGTCTGAGCGGCGGGCCGCACTCGTCACGGGCGACCCGTCCCCGCTGTCCCCTAGCCCAGCGGCTCGCAGACTCGCGCTCACCCGATTTACCCGGGCTTGTTAGCACAGACTGCTGGAGTTTCGATTCAGCGAGTCTGGGCTGGGCCGAAGGCTTGAATTTCCAACAACTTCTCGGGGCGCGCAGCGCAGGGGCCCCACCTGGGAACCCCGGCCCCGGGAGCCCACTTCACCGAGGGGCCAGCGCGCGTGGCGGACAGGGGGCGTCGGTTGCCGGGCAGAGCCGGGCCGCGCGCACCCCCATTGGCCCCAGGTGGGGCCGTGCCCCGCCCGACAGGTAGTCCGCCCCGCGCCGCGCCATTGGGCTGCGGCCGCGGGGTCCCCCGGGGATTGGCCCAGGTGGCGGCCCCTCCTCGACCTCATTGGCCGCAGGTGCCACCGCCTCCGCCCCGGGACCGCCAGCCCCGCCGATTGGCCGCCGGCTGGGCCTCGGGTCGGCCATGTTCGGACACCCCCCGCCCCCCGCGAGGCCTGACGCCGGACTCCGTGCGCGCCCACACCGGCGCGCTCGCGCCGGCCGCGCCCCCGTCCCGCCCCGCCCCGCCTGCCGCCAAGTTCCGCGGAGTTGGCCGGAGCGGTGCTCATCTGTCCCCGCGCCGCGCGCTCCCTTCCGCGTTCCGCCGTCTACCCCACCCGCGCCCCGGCCCGGCCGCTGGGGCCCCGCGCCATGGCCCGAGCGTCCGGGGCGCAGCGCTGACGGCGGCCGGCGGAGCGCGCCATGCCCAGCAGGACCGGCCGCAAGATGGACGGGAGCGGCGGCCGTGTCCGCCTGAAGGCGCACTACAGCGGGTGAGCGCGAGCGCCCGACGGCAGGGCCCGGCCGGGGCGGGGGGCGTGTGCGCCGAGGCGGCGGGGCCGAGGGCAGAGCCGGGCGCGGGGAGCTGCCTCCGACAGCGCCGGCCGTCGGCGACCGTGTCGTCGCAGCTTCGGGAGGCCGAGGGCTGGGGGCAGCCGGCCGTGGCGCTGGAGGGAGGGGACAGCGAGGCCCCTCCGGGCCCAGGGGCGTCCCGGGAGGTCCGGAGGCGCCAGCGCCTAGAGGCGGCCCCGGGCGAAGCGGGCGCTCCGGGCGCACTTGAACGTCACCGGCGGGAAAGTTCGCGGGCAGGGTGGGGTCGGACTGGCCCCCCGGCGCCCTAGCTCGGGGTCGCCGGGGCCAGCTCGGAGCGCGCGGCCATGCGGGTCTCTCCCCGCCCCGACGAGATTTTCCTGGGCTGGGACTTGCCCGGAGGGGAGGCGGGCGTCTGGCACGCCCCGCAGCCCCGGGCCCTGTGTTGACACTCTCCCTGGAAAGTTGGCCGAAACGTTCAGGCCACAGCCTGTAAGGACGAAAGTTTTTGTCAAATTGTGAAGATTGCTGGCAGGTTTTAAAAACCGAGGTTTTCCTAAACTTTTTACAATGTACCCGACCAGGTCTCAGTTTCAGAACCGTTTCATGACCGGGTGAAGGGCAGGTGCGGTGAGCCGGCTGGTCGCGCGAATGGAGGGCGCCTGGAAGGGCTGGGGCCCTGCGTCCGCGCTGGGCGCCTGGATTCGACCTGCCTCCCTGTGAAATGGGGCGAGCCGGCGCCCGCAGGGGTCAGTGACCGGAGCGCCTGGCCCGGCCCAGAGAGCGCTCGCTGGACTCTCGGTCGTGTTGGGACAGCCCTGGGGGGGGGGGGGGG